TCCAGAGTGGTGTTTTGTGTGTTGCTATGCGGTTGCTAGGTCAGTGCGGGTTGTTTCTACGGTGATAGTAAGTGGTTGCTAAGTTGTTATGAGTGGTTGCTTGGGTTTGTCATTGTATGCATTTATTTGGTTACTACCGTTTTCGATGCTAAATTTGTATAAAATCATAAAACACAGATTCCATAAAAATTTAAATAGACAACACAAAATTTTGTTAAATATATAAAAATATTGTTAGATTTTTAATAAATTATTAAATCGTTAAAGTTTTATTAAACAAATTGATGAGGCATTATTTTAAAATTTTTTGAAATTTAATTCAGCCATTAAAAATTTAATCTGAATCTTTAATATGAAAAAAAAACAGAATTTGGAAAAAGTAAAATAAAACATGTCATATGCCACTATTATTGTTTGAATAAAATATTAAAAGTGTTATGAATTCAGTTGATTAGGCATCCTTCTGAATTATTAAAATTGAATTCAGCCATTAAAATTTGATTCTAGAAAATTTTAAATGTAAAACAGAATTTGAGGGAAAAAAACGCAATTCATATTATTTTAAAAGTTTAATAAATTCTTAAATGTTTATTTGTTTATGAATTCAGTTGATTAGGCATAGGATTGGGCGATATGGTAAAAATATCACTTTTTTTTTTTTTCCAGGAAAATCACGATTCACGATTTTATCACAATTCTTTGTCATGTTGATTTTACTATTTTCTCTAAGTTGTCTGAGCAGTAATTTCCCTATTTTACAAAACAAAGCCTTACAAGGTAACAAAATATAAAGTAAAAAAGAATGGCAGACATTTAGGCCAAAGTGGGCAAAGATAAAAATCTTTATCATTGTTTTATCTTTGTTATTAAAAAATAACAACAAACATACACACTACAAACACACATAACTGATTCTTATTAAAGCAACTGTATTAATGTTCTTCAATCACTTTGTGTTTAGTTGTTTTATAACATTAATGACAAGCAGCAGCATGTTTAGAACTATTAGACTGCTGTCACTTTAAGACCTACACTCATCTAACATACAGGCACGCATCCGTTTCTCTCTCAGCTGTTTACTTTCACTTTAGACATAACCAACTGTGTTTATATGTAAACCTTGTGTGTTTTTGACAGCATTAGCGCAATCAGACGTGAAAGAGTCCAGTAATCAGCTGCTGTTTGTCAGGATTTTTAGTGTGTACGGGCTCAGAAAAAGCACATGTCAGAACAGCACGCGAATGAAATGTTTAACTAGCAAGGCTTTAAAGCACATGCAAATACAGTACTTTTGTGGTTGTGAATAAGTGCAGTGTCCTGTGAGTGTGACTCTACCGCTGAGTAACATTTGTAGCGCGATACTACCATATTCCTTCAAAAGCAGATCGTGGAGACATTTTAATCACCCACGATCAAAAATAGTCATATCACGCACCCCAAATTAGGCATCATTTTTGAAAATTTAAATTTAATTCAGCCATTAAAAACGGAAAACACAGAATTCGGGAAAAATAAAACACATTTCATAGGGCACTATTATCAGTGTTGGGGGTAACGCGAGTTACGTAATCAGATTACTTTTTTTCAGGTAACTAGTAAAGTAATGCATTACTTTTTAATTTACAAGAGAATATCTGAGTAACTTTTTCAAATAAGTAACGCAAGTTACTTTGTTTCCCATTTATTGATTGACAGCTCTCCTGTCCCCATGGTGACAGAAATCAGATGTTACTGTAGTTCTAAAATAAATATGAATATGCATTAATTCAGGGGTGGGCAAACTTGGCCCTTCCAGGCCACTTTCCTTCAGAGGTTAGCTCCAACCCTAATCAAAGGGGGGGGCCCCCCTCGGTCCGTTCGCGATCTCGTTCTGGGGGGGGCCCCCCTCGGTCCGTTCGCGATCTCGTTCTGGGGGGGGCCCCCCTCGGTCCGTTCGCGATCTCGTTCTGGGGGGGGCCCCCCTCGGTCCGTTCGCGATCTCGTTCTGGGGGGGGCCCCCCTCGGTCCGTTCGCGATCTCGTTCTGGGGGGGGCCCCCCTCGGTCCGTTCGCGATCTCGTTCTGGGGGGGGCCCCCCTCGGTCCGTTCGCGATCTCGTTCTGGGGGGGGCCCCCCTCGGTCCGTTCGCGATCTCGTTCTGGGGGGGGCCCCCCTCGGTCCGTTCGCGATCTCGTTCTGGGGGGGGCCCCCCTCGGTCCGTTCGCGATCTCGTTCTGGGGGGGGCCCCCCTCGGTCCGTTCGCGATCTCGTTCTGGGGGGGGCCCCCCTCGGTCCGTTCGCGATCTCGTTCTGGGGGGGGCCCCCCTCGGTCCGTTCGCGATCTCGTTCTGGGGGGGGCCCCCCTCGGTCCGTTCGCGATCTCGTTCTGGGGGGGGCCCCCCTCGGTCCGTTCGCGATCTCGTTCTGGGGGGGGCCCCCCTCGGTCCGTTCGCGATCTCGTTCTGGGGGGGGCCCCCCTCGGTCCGTTCGCGATCTCGTTCTGGGGGGGGCCCCCCTCGGTCCGTTCGCGATCTCGTTCTGGGGGGGGCCCCCCTCGGTCCGTTCGCGATCTCGTTCTGGGGGGGGCCCCCCTCGGTCCGTTCGCGATCTCGTTCTGGGGGGGGCCCCCCTCGGTCCGTTCGCGATCTCGTTCTGGGGGGGGCCCCCCTCGGTCCGTTCGCGATCTCGTTCTGGGGGGGGCCCCCCTCGGTCCGTTCGCGATCTCGTTCTGGGGGGGGCCCCCCTCGGTCCGTTCGCGATCTCGTTCTGGGGGGGGCCCCCCTCGGTCCGTTCGCGATCTCGTTCTGGGGGGGGCCCCCCTCGGTCCGTTCGCGATCTCGTTCTGGGGGGGGCCCCCCTCGGTCCGTTCGCGATCTCGTTCTGGGGGGGGCCCCCCTCGGTCCGTTCGCGATCTCGTTCTGGGGGGGGCCCCCCTCGGTCCGTTCGCGATCTCGTTCTGGGGGGGGCCCCCCTCGGTCCGTTCGCGATCTCGTTCTGGGGGGGGCCCCCCTCGGTCCGTTCGCGATCTCGTTCTGGGGGGGGCCCCCCTCGGTCCGTTCGCGATCTCGTTCTGGGGGGGGCCCCCCTCGGTCCGTTCGCGATCTCGTTCTGGGGGGGGCCCCCCTCGGTCCGTTCGCGATCTCGTTCTGGGGGGGGCCCCCCTCGGTCCGTTCGCGATCTCGTTCTGGGGGGGGCCCCCCTCGGTCCGTTCGCGATCTCGTTCTGGGGGGGGCCCCCCTCGGTCCGTTCGCGATCTCGTTCTGGGGGGGGCCCCCCTCGGTCCGTTCGCGATCTCGTTCTGGGGGGGGCCCCCCTCGGTCCGTTCGCGATCTCGTTCTGGGGGGGGCCCCCCTCGGTCCGTTCGCGATCTCGTTCTGGGGGGGGCCCCCCTCGGTCCGTTCGCGATCTCGTTCTGGGGGGGGCCCCCCTCGGTCCGTTCGCGATCTCGTTCTGGGGGGGGCCCCCCTCGGTCCGTTCGCGATCTCGTTCTGGGGGGGGCCCCCCTCGGTCCGTTCGCGATCTCGTTCTGGGGGGGGCCCCCCTCGGTCCGTTCGCGATCTCGTTCTGGGGGGGGCCCCCCTCGGTCCGTTCGCGATCTCGTTCTGGGGGGGGCCCCCCTCGGTCCGTTCGCGATCTCGTTCTGGGGGGGGCCCCCCTCGGTCCGTTCGCGATCTCGTTCTGGGGGGGGCCCCCCTCGGTCCGTTCGCGATCTCGTTCTGGGGGGGGCCCCCCTCGGTCCGTTCGCGATCTCGTTCTGGGGGGGGCCCCCCTCGGTCCGTTCGCGATCTCGTTCTGGGGGGGGCCCCCCTCGGTCCGTTCGCGATCTCGTTCTGGGGGGGGCCCCCCTCGGTCCGTTCGCGATCTCGTTCTGGGGGGGGCCCCCCTCGGTCCGTTCGCGATCTCGTTCTGGGGGGGGCCCCCCTCGGTCCGTTCGCGATCTCGTTCTGGGGGGGGCCCCCCTCGGTCCGTTCGCGATCTCGTTCTGGGGGGGGCCCCCCTCGGTCCGTTCGCGATCTCGTTCTGGGGGGGGCCCCCCTCGGTCCGTTCGCGATCTCGTTCTGGGGGGGGCCCCCCTCGGTCCGTTCGCGATCTCGTTCTGGGGGGGGCCCCCCTCGGTCCGTTCGCGATCTCGTTCTGGGGGGGGCCCCCCTCGGTCCGTTCGCGATCTCGTTCTGGGGGGGGCCCCCCTCGGTCCGTTCGCGATCTCGTTCTGGGGGGGGCCCCCCTCGGTCCGTTCGCGATGGGGCCCCCTCAAGTGCGGGGCCCGGTGCGACCACACCAGTTGCACCCCCCTAAGGAAGGCCCTGCATAGGGCCCTATAATTGTTCAATTTTATTAAATTATTAAATTGTTAGTTATAGGAATTCATTTAATTTAACTTTTTTTATTATTAACATTTAAAAAAACATTAAGATAGAATTTAGGAAAAAATAAAATGCATTTCATAGGGCACTATTACTGTTAACATTTAAAAAATTTAAGTAATTGCACATGCTTTTTTATGATTAAAATAGATTTAAACCATTGAAACAGAACTCAGATAAATCAAAACGGAAAACATGGAATTTGGGACAAAATAAAACAGATTTCAAAGGGCACTATTATTTGAATACATTTTTAGATTGTTATAGACTTAGGAATTCAATTAATTAAACATGCTTCTTGATTATTATAATTGAATAAAACCATCTAAATGGCATCTAAAAAGACAAAAAAAACAGAACAGAAATCAGAATTTGGGACAAAATAAAACTATTATTGTTGAAATTTTAATAAATTATTAAATTGTTAATGTGTTACACATTCAGGTGATTAGACATTTTTTTTTCATTATAATTATTTACATTTAATTCAACCATTAAAAATGCATCTGAAAAATGAATGCACATTTCACAGGCCACTAATGTTGTTAAAATGTAAAAATAAATGACTAAATTGTTAAAGCTTTATGAATGCAAATGTAATTCAGGCATTAAAAATGGAAACTAATACAGATTGTGTCTTACATCTGCTTTTTAGCACACACTTTTCTTACAATTTCAAGGCACAATAAAGTGCACCAACCATGTGCATGTCTGTTATTTATGCTCTTCGGTCTTCAGCAGCACTGCTTTAGCATCCGCTTGCACTGTGACGAATCCCGTAATCTTCATGTGGCCTGCATGCGCCACTCAAACCCACAGCTCCGCCTTCCCCGGCCCCCGCCAGCCAATCAGCAGCCTCCCCAGCCAGCCCTCTGCTGCTTGAGATCACGTGATCTCCTCCGGCCAATCGGCGGCCTCCCTTTGATGAGTGACATCACTAACTTAGCTGCTTCCCTCCAGCAACGGAGCTTCATTTTCTGCTGAGAGTGTTTGTGCTGCTGAAATGGAGGCTAACAGCTCGAGCTAGCCGCCTCGTGCCCGATCAGACCCATAGATGTTGACATGCTCTAAAGAGGAGGCCAGGATGGTTCTGGATGCTCCGAGCGCCAACGGGCCCTTTCAGCCGGTGGCCCTCATGCACTTTAGAGGTGAGATGTTTGTCTTATTGTGTCTGTGTAGGCAGAGAGCGACGAGGGAGGTTGCTATGCCATGATTTGTGGCCGCTGTTACGCAGGCAGAAGAATGTGTGGCGTTTGGGAGACACTAGAATAGATACAAACCTCTTTTTTTTTTAGATTCACGCTTTGCAGACTGCATTTTAAGCATTTTCTGGCCATGCATTTGGGTTTGCACTACATGCATAAATCTTGACACAGCTCAAAACGCAGTGAATGTGGAAAACTCTGTTTACAATGCGCTGGTTAAGTAGGAGGGGGTCTGTTTAACTAGCCTCCCATCCCCCCTTACCAGAGCACTGATGTCAGAGGAAGTGAGGTCACAGCTTCAGGAAGAATGCATGCATGTGTGCTCAAGCCACAGAGCTTGCGAGAGACTGCATCCTGACAGCCGGTTCCTTCTGCTTTGTTTTCTTCACTTCACACGCAGACAGATGATTGTAATCATTCATGCATTAATGATGCATTTGTTGCATGCTTTGCAATGTTTTAAATATGCATTTTAAACAACTTTGAGATTAGACATATGATTTGATATTTTACTTCTGCATGCACGCTTTGAACATTATGCAAGTATGCATGGAATAACTAGATGACTAGTGCATTATACCACAGTGCACACTGTGGAAGATACTGTATCATACAATGCAGTGCACTCAGTCTTTTATTTCCAGGATGATGGATGTGCAATACTGCTTAGAAGTTTGGAATAATTCAGTAAAAATTGTGAAATATTATTATAATTTAAAACAGCTGTTCTCTATGTGAATATCTGTTCAACTGTAATTTATTCCTGTGAAATAAATGTTTCTCAAGCAGCAAATCAGAATATTAGAATGATTTCTGAAGATCTTGTGACTCTGAAGACTGGAGTAATGATGCTGAAAATACAGCTTTGATCACAGGAATAAATTACAGTTTATAATATATTCACACAGAAAGCAGTTATTTTAAATTGTAATAATATTTCACATTTTTCACTGTATTTTCGATCAAATAAATGCAGCCTTGGTGAACATAAGAGACTTAAATATTCCAAACATACGGCAGTGTATTTACAGCCCTCATTTTACATCTTTTTGTTACTTATTCGATCAGACTGCAAAAAGTTTAAATGTTTTTAGACAAAATAGCTAACCATTTAATTTCCTAAATAACTGGATGCCACTTGCATATAGTGTGATAAGAAACATTTATCAATGCATATTGCTTCACTACACTAGATATATTCTCCACACAGCCTAGTGTTTTTTTTTTAAAAACCTAGTAAACTAGTATTATAATATAATATTTTGATGAACTTTAGATGCATTCACATTTAATTCAATAAGTGCCGTCCTGTAATTGTCTCCGATAAGCATGGTTATTATAATGATTCATAATCACAGCTGATATGACTAAGTCATAACTAAGTTCAAGCCGACTGCATTGCATTATGGGATGCAGTATTTAATGCACACTGAATATTTGCATGCTACACGTATAGTGTGCATGCAGAACGTGACGTGTTGATGAGGGTCGTGCGATTGATAATACAGTTCAAATGCACACTCAAACCTTTAGTGAACTGCAGACTGAATCATCTTCTTTTGAATCAAATGGAGTCGTTTATAAATTGAACTGACCTTCACCTAATCAGTTGTGGTCAAACGTATTCGTTGTTGACACTGAGGTCTCTGGTTGCTCTGCTGTTTTCAAACACTGATGCATCCCAGATAACATTGAAGAGCCGCCTACTCATCTGTCTGTCTCTGTGCCGAAATTGTGAAATATTATTATAATTTAAAACAGCTGTTCTCTATGTGAATATCTGTTAAACTGTAATTTATTCCTGTGAAATAAATGTTTCTCAAGCAGCAAATCAGCATATTAGAATGATTTCTGAAGATCTTGTGACTCTGAAGACTGGAGTAATGATGCTGAAAATACAGCTTTGATCACAGGAATAAATTACAGTTTATAATATATTCACACAGAAAGCAGTTATTTTAAATTGTAATAATATTTCACATTTTTCACTGTATTTTCGATCAAATAAATGCAGCCTTGGTGAACATAAGAGACTTAAATATTCCAAACATACGGCAGTGTATTTACAGCCCTCATTTTACATCTTTTTGTTACTTATTCGATCAGACTGCAAAAAGTTTAAATGTTTTTAGACAAAATAGCTAACCATTTAATTTCCTAAATAACTGGATGCCACTTGCATATAGTGTGATAAGAAACATTTATCAATGCATATTGCTTCACTACACTAGATATATTCTCCACACAGCCTAGTGTTTTTTTTTTAAAAACCTAGTAAACTAGTATTATAATATAATATTTTGATGAACTTTAGATGCATTCACATTTAATTCAATAAGTGCCGTCCTGTAATTGTCTCCGATAAGCATGGTTATTATAATGATTCATAATCACAGCTGATATGACTAAGTCATAACTAAGTTCAAGCCGACTGCATTGCATTATGGGATGCAGTATTTAATGCACACTGAATATTTGCATGCTACACGTATAGTGTGCATGCAGAACGTGACGTGTTGATGAGGGTCGTGCGATTGATAATACAGTTCAAATGCACACTCAAACCTTTAGTGAACTGCAGACTGAATCATCTTCTTTTGAATCAAATGGAGTCGTTTATAAATTGAACTGACCTTCACGTAATCAGTTGTGGTCAAACGTATTCGTTGTTGACACTGAGGTCTCGCTTTTTAACTGTTTTGCCGGTCATGTGCAGCTTTAAAGGAAACCGTGTGATCTAAACATTCAGTAAAGCCCAAAATATACGGTGAGTTTGCCTGACATCAATTCAGGAAAAACCCTGCAGCTGCAGCATCACTTTAACCCTGTAAAGCCTGACATGTGAAATAATAGTCTGATTTTTAAAAGAAAAATTTAAGTTTGTTGAACCTTAAGACAAAATATTACAAAATATGCACATATGTGACCTTAGAGCACAAAACCAGTCATAAGGGTCAATTTTGTGAATGTAAGATTTATACATCATCTGAAAGCTGAATAAACATTGAAGAGCCGCCTACTCATCTGTCTGTCTCTGTGCCGAAATAAAACAACGCTTTTTAACTGTTTTGCCGGTCATGTGCAGCTTTAAAGGAAACCGTGTGATCTAAACATTCAGTAAAGCCCAAAATATACGGTGAGTTTGCCTGACATCAATTCAGGAAAAACCCTGCAGCTGCAGCATCACTTTAACCCTGTAAAGCCTGACATGTGAAATAATAGTCTGATTTTTAAAAGAAAAATTTAAGTTTGTTGAACCTTAAGACAAAATATTACAAAATATGCACATATGTGACCTTAGAGCACAAAACGAGTCATAAGGGTCAATTTTGTGAATTTAAGATTTATACATCATCTGAAAGCTGAATAAATAAGCTTCCATTGATGTATGGTTTGTTAGGATAGGACAATATTTGGCTGAGATACAACTATTTGAAAATCTGGAATCTGAGGGTGCAAAAAAATCTAAATATTGAGAAAATCATCTTTAAAGTTGTTCAAATGAAGTTCTTAGCAATGCATATTACTAATCAAAAATTAAGTTTTGATATATTTACGGTAGGACATTTACAAAATATCTTCATGGAACATGATCTTTACTTAATATCCTAATGATTTTTGGCATAAAAGAAAAATGTATAATTTTGACCCATACAATGTATTGTTGGCTATTGCTACAAATATACCCCAGCGACTTAAGACTGCTTTTGTGCTGCAGGGACACATATGTCATATTTATAGCTCATATAGTCTGATACAGTGAGAATATGGAGCTCAGTTTTATTCAGAGACTCAAACTGAGCAAAAATATGAATTTGGTGCAGATGCTGATATTTCTATGATGAA